GATATATGAATAAATATTCATACTTGCTTATATCTGCAAAAACAAACACTGGGATGATAAGAAGGAAATTGATACAAGTAATCTACGGGGAACAGGCTGGATGGAATGACTGGGGAAAGGGTGAGAGTAAATGTTTTAGTGCATACTTTTTGGTACTATTTTGATTTTATTGAATCGTAAAACTGTATTATCTATTCAAATAAAATAAAATTTATCCAAAATGTTCAAGTGGAAACATTTCTCTCCAAATGCATATATTTTTTAGATTTTACTAAAGGTTTTACTAGCACTGATTCACAAAAGACACCATTTTTTATAATTGGCATAATACAATTATAATGCATTTCAAATGAAATTCCATAATACATTACATTTGCATAAAGCAGTTGCTCTTTTCTCTATGGAGAAAAACAACAAATCACGTTCTGAATATTAAAGCAAAATGTTAAATTTTCCATTTTCATTATATAAATGCTTTTTAGTCACCTTTTGAAGTTTAAAGGAATATCATACAAAGGTCTCTATATTTGAAATATATATTTTAGAAAAATAAGATCTACAAAAGACTTTTTAAACCAAAAAATCACCCCTACATATTTGCTTTTTCTAGAACCAAAACTTTTTATTCCTTGATGTGCATTCTCTTATTAATAGATCAAAAGGTTTTGAGCTAAAGACTTCGGTAGAAAAATAGAATTCTTGTTTTTAAAGAAGTTTAATTCATAATTTTTAGCTGCATACAAATAAGTTCACATATTTTTCCTGGTTATAAAAATACACAGATTTTAACCTAATTAAACTTACAAGCTTCTGCACAGCAAAGGAAACCACAAGCAAAACAAAACGACAACCTATGGAATGGGAGAAAATTTTTGCAAAAGATGAAACTGACAAAGGCTTGATCTCCAGAATATATAAGCAGCTCGCATTATTTAATAAGAAAAAAACAAACAACCCAATCCAAAAATGGGCAGAAGACCTAAACAAGCAATTCTCCAATGAAGACATACAAATGGCCAATAGGCACATGAAAAAATGCTCAATATCACTAATTATCAGAGAAATGCAAATCAAAACTACAATGAAGTATCACCTCACACCAGCCAGAATGGCCATCATTCAAAAGTCCATGAATGATAAATGCTGGAGAGGGTGTGGAGAAAAGAGAACCCTCCTGCACTGCTGGTGGGAATGCAGTTTGGCGCAGCCACTGTGGAAAACAGTATGGAGGTTCCTCAAAAGACTAGGAATAGACTTACCATATGACCCAGGAATCCTGCTCCTGGGCTTATATCCAGAAGGAACCCTACTTCAAAAAGACACCTGCACCCCAGCACTATTTACAATAGCCGAGACATGGAAATAGACTAAATGTCCATCAACAGATGACTGGATAAAGAAGACGTGGTATATTTATACAATGGAATACTATTCAGATATAAAAAATGACAACATAACACCATTTGCAGCAACAAGGATGTCCCTGGAGAATGTCATTCTAAGTGAAGTAAGCCAGAAAGAGAAAGAAAAATACCATACGAGATCACTCATATGTGGAATCTTAAAAACAAAAAAGAACATAAACACAAAACAGAAGCAGATTTATAGACATAGAATACAAACTTGTGGTTGCCAGGGGGGAGGAGGGTGGGAAGGGACAGACTGGGAGTTCGAAATTTGTAGATACTGACAGGTATATATAGAATAGGTAAACAAGATTATACTGTATGGCACAGGGAAATATATACAAGATCTTGTGGTAGCTCACAGTGAAAAAGAATACGACAATGAATGTATGTATGTTCATGTATAACTGAAAAATTGTGCTCTACACTGGAACTTGACACAACATTGTAAACTGACTATAACTCAATTTAAAAATTTTAAACTAAAAAAAAAAAACCCCACATATTTTAGGGAAATCTCCAGAGTACTTATAGCTTTATCAATGGAAGCTTCACACTTTCAATCAAGTGTTTTGTTTGCTTGGAAAGTGTTTCAAGTTGTCAGTCATTCTTGAGACTTTGCAATCACAAATCACCATTTTTATTCAGTACTCAAAAATATCAATGTTTGCCTTGCTGAATGTTTGTGTCTTTGGGGAATTGGCTCTGATCCAATATGTTCCATCAGTGGTCAGTCCCAGGAGGCTGTGAGGCTTCACCTTTGCCTCTGACCTAATGATTGGTTACATGTCACTCTTGTGATGCTTGTGGGGCCTCTATGTGACCACACTGATGGCTACGCAGTGTCTTGCCTGGCCTTCTTCCAATTCTATTTTGACCCAAAGGGCTTTACCCAACCAATGGAATTGTTCCAAAATGAAATATTAATAGTAAGACAATGAAAAGAAGACTCACCATTGTCAAGGGGGCCATACACACAAGTCGAGCACTGACTTATTTTCCAGTGTAGCTGCTGGGTTCAGGAAACTGGCTACTAAATCTTCTGGGGGTGGCATTGGGCACAGATAATAAAGATGGCAGGAGAAAAGATCTTTCTAGCAGACATAGCAATTGCAATGGTAAGCAAAGTAAAGATGGTTAATAATCCTGTGGAAATATGGAAACTCTGCATTTTCCAGGGGACGTCTCAAGTCCTAAGGTCATAGGATCTGCAGCTACAAAGGGCTCTTTGCCACTTTTTGCAGGCTTCTGATAGTCTTCACTCTGAATGCCACAAAGTAATCCCTTTCCCTCTAGAGTAGGGGTCAGTAAATGTTTTCTGTAAAGGGCCAGATAGAGTAAATATTTTAGGTTTTGTGGGTCATACTGTCTTGGTTGCAATTTTTCAGCTCTCACAGACAGTACAAAAAACAATGGGCATGGCTGTGTTCCAGTAAAACTTTCTGGGCAATGAAATTTGAATCTCATGTAATTTTCACATTTAATGAAATAGTCGCCTTTAATTTTTTTTCTTGCAACCATTTAAAAATATAAAAACCATTCTCAGCTTGCAGGCCATACAAAAACAGATGGCAGGCCCTATTTGGCCTGTGGGCCACAGTTTGCCAACTGCTGTTCTAGAGGAAAACAGCTGGAATGTAAGTTGGAACCAGCCTGAGCCATCCTCTTATAATTTCATGTGGGCTGAGCTCTCTGGCTGCAGAACTCCAGGTTCATTATGATGGTTGGGAAGGTCTCAGGCCATTTAAGGTCTTCATTGAAAAGTCTACATAATTCTTGCTTGACATCATAATCTGCCTTGTTAAAGCTTTTCAAGCATATAAGTTCTATGGTTAGAATTTAATGTTTGGGGCTTTACATAAAAATTGGAAAATTCATCTCATAAAAATGGAAACTTAATCAGAGTCTACACTGAAGAATTTGTTTCTGGAGCAACGTCGGCAAAGTCATGATGTCTGCTTTCCTCTAGGGCAGTGGTTCTGGAAGTCTGGTCAGCAGATCGACAGCACTAGCATCACCCAGCAACTTGTTAGAAATGCAGATTCTTAGGTGTCACCCCAGACCTACTGAATGAGACCCTGGAGGTGTGGCCTGGAAATCTGTGTTTTAACAAGCCCTCCAAGTGGTCCTCATGCATGCTAAAGCTTGGAAACTATGCTGCTAGGGAAAATCCTTGGACCCTCCTGAAATTAAGCATATTATAACTAGGACTTAAAAGAAGGTTGATACATTGAATTCGCTAGTAGGCAAAAGGCATCCAGTTCCTGGTCAAGTCCTGCATGGTGCCTAGACCAGCTGCCCTGCAGAATAAGCAGAGAGCACCCACAATGACAAGCTGCTATATTGGACAATCCAGTCACATGCATGCAGTTCTGATTTGTTCTGTCCCCTCTACTTGCCCAGGTGTCCCCTCCAACTGATATATTGACTGGTAAAGGGGACTTAAGAGTTATGGGATGACTGTGTGGGTATAAACTGGTTGTGAACAGAGTGAAGGGGCCAAGCTGCTGTTTTTCTGATGGCCTTTTTCTCATCAGGGGCCTCATTCCTTAAGTCATAAAGTTGTTTTATAGTTCGTAAGTGGCAAGAGGAAATAGATGGTCCTTGGGAGAAGCAGCTTCAGTGGCTGCAACAGCTCAAACAAGTCCCCAACTAACCTCATCTATGTAATTGATGTGAGCTATCGGTCATGGTAGAAAAGGCAAGAGGTTAGGAATAGGAATATCCTGGAAAGGAAAAATAATGTGTTGGCCCAGCAAAAAAAACAGAGACCCGAGCAAGGGTCCTGGAGGGAATAATATTAGAACTAGAGGCGAGGAGATGAACAGGGCTGACACATGCATTCAAGAGGCAAGGTTCTCAGCAGAGCAGTACATTTGTCTGCCATCAGAGTTAAAAGTCCCTGAGCTCTTTGTTCACTAGGTGTCTGGTGGACTCTGGGTTAGAATGAAGACCTGTTTAAGGAGGTTGTTAATGAAGGCCTCACAACTTCTGCTTATTTTGAACACAGGTTTTAGGGCATCAAAGTGACCACATAGGCAATCTGACTTTGGTTTTAGCAGGAGGTGCTCAAAGCCTGATTCTCTGCCTCATTAGGTAGCTGCCCACAGACAGATGAGACCCCCACAATGGTCGAATCCAAGCTGGACAGTGCTTGTGACTTAGTCGTTGTTAGTTTTCCACTCAAGTTTGTCCAGATGGGAAGATCTAGCCCATACATCCCACGTTCAAAGTGCAGTGCATTGTTATGTTTAATTTACAAAGTAAATCTCCATTCAATACACTCACAGGCCAAGAAGGAAGGTATGTTCCTTCATGAAGGGTTGAGGGATAATTTGGAGTCCATTAGAAAGATGATCGTGATTGTTCATC